CCACTCACCTCAGCCTCCCAAAGTGCTGGGATTATAGGCTGAGCCACCGAGCCCGGCTCTATGGTATCTTTTAACATGCTCCATAGCTCAATCATTTATTTTCTTTTCCATTTGCCCTCACTAGAACGTCAGCTCCATGAGGGCAGAGATTAGTGGAATTTGACCACAAATGTTTCCCCACACAACAGGTGCTCAGTCAATGCATGCTGAGTGGACGGCTGACTGAAATGAATAACTTGTATGATGGAACCGGGCAGTTTCAGAAAGATGAAAGGAGGGAGTGTGGACAGGAGAGAAAACTCAAAGGGTGGAGAGCAGGTGGGAGGAAGACAGAGGCAGAGTGCAGGCAGAAGAGGTGGGGAAAGGTTGCCAGACGTGGGGAAAAACTGACAGCAAGGGGAGAGGCAGGGAGGAGCTGAAGAGGTAGGAGAGACGGAGGACACACACAGGGCCCTCCAGCCTCCCACCCTCTGCTGCTGTTTACCATCAGGAGCCCCATCACACACCACTAGGTCCGCGGGGCAGCCCTCGAAGTGTTGAATGATCTCCTTGGCAGTGGACAGCTATGGAGAGAGGGAAGATGAGTGGCCCCAGGTCCTGCCACTGCTGCTCCCAAATCCTACCTGCCCGTGGCCCTGGCCCACAGCTCCTGGGTCAGTCAAATTCTCAGGCTTTGCCTAGTTAAGGCTGGGCTCCATCTCTGGGGACCCAGTGTTATCATCTATTGCTGCCTCTGTGAAGATGATCTGCTGGCTCTATTTCCCCAGTGTTACTCTACCTCTGTCTTTCTCAGTCTCTGTTTCTCTTGCTCTCTCTGTCTCTCTTCCACTTTCTACAGCCCCCAGGCGGGTACTTCCACCCAGGATATACCCCAATACCCTCAGCCATGCTCTCACCTGGGTGATGTCCCCCTGGATTTGTAACACACCTGGTAGTGGAGCCATGGCCTGCAGGTCCACGGCCACCACATGGCCGGACCCCTGGCTCCTGTGGACAACATGGCCCATGTCAACTTAGTTTCATTCCTGCTTCCCCCCACCCCCGCCACCCCCCCCACACTTACCCAATCTTTTGGCTTAGCACCTGACTCCAGCTGCCTGGGGCTGCACACAGGTCAACTGCTCGTGTCACTCCTGGACACACACAGTAAAAGTGTCCTGGTCAGCTGCACTCTTCTCCAACCTGGGGACCCTTGTAAAGTTCGCCCCTCGCTTCTGGGGAGCACCCACATCTCTCCACTGCCCAGGTACTCAACTCCTCTTGGGTATTCTGCCGATCTTCCTACCTGTTTCCTTGACCCAGAGACTCTCCAAGTCAGCCTACCCGCCACAGGGAGCTCTGTAGACCCAGTGCGCTTGTCTCTCTCCTGTGCCCATCCCCTACCTCCAATGATTTGCCTGCCAGTTACAGACCTTGAAAGAGATGGAATTCCTCATCAAGTTGTAGCAGCTTGAAGGCGCTGCGGGCTCGCCAGCCATTCTCCTTGGCCAGCCGGTAGTAGACATCCCGCTTGTCCTTTGACGTCCGTCCCATCTCACACACAGTTTGCCCAAGGACCTGCTGACAGTCAGCTGATGCCAACCAGGATCAATAACCAGGTGAGTAGGCTACCACCTGCCTCTGTAGGGTGGAGAGAACCACACAAACCAAACTGGGCTCACCTGACCCATGTGACAGCTCACTTAGAAGATGGGCCGAATGAAGCACTGGCACTGACTCCACTGACCTTACAGGGCCCGAAGGAGCCTATCACTGAGCTCTCAGGCTCTACTGCTCATTACACAGACCCCCGTACCCCATCACTTACCCCGTAGTTCCCACAGAAGACCTCACATACCCAACACTTATTCCATAGATGACTCACTGGTGACCCTATTTCCCATTACCGTCACCTACACTTCACACATTAAACCCTGTAACTGTCACCATCAACCCTCCTCACCCACTTCATCCTCATTAACACTTGTCTCCCCAGTTGTCCCCACTGTCCCTAGATTCATAGTCCCCTGATTAATTCTTTGCTTTTCACCCCCATTATCCTAATATTATCTCATTGCACCCCACCCCCTTAATCTCTGTCCACCTTATTCCCCATTAATCTCTTAAACAATTAGGCCCCAGTAATTCCTTCATTACTACATTCTTACCAACCCCATTACTGCCTGGAGGATCATGGATTATTAGCTCCCCATTAAGAACTCAAGTACTGACTTATGGCCCCATTAACTTAGCCCTCCATTTGACCCCTCCTCATAGACCACCACTAGCTCCCTGTAACCCCTTCATTAACACACGTTATTCCCCAATGATCACACATTAGTTGCCTATTCTCCCCTCACTGGCCACCCTGCCCTCCATTAGTCGACCACTGGATGATCACATCCCAACAGCTTACTATTACCCTCTCTTTACTTATGCTGTCCCCATTGAATCCTAGATACCCTAGATGGTCACGCCACCACAGCCCATTATTAACTCTGATTACAACACTATCAACCTCTTATTATCTCTTCTTTTATCACCGCCCCATTAGTCCGTTGACCATGATCTCTGTTCTTCTCTATTACTCCTTCCATAGCCTCACCATTATCCTTTCGATTACTGTGCCCCATTGCTCTCCTTAAACCCACTGAATATCACACCTCTATCAATCCCTCGAGGATCACACACCCATCCACCTCCCATTATATTCCAGTCACCCACTCTATCACTCCCTCATTAATGAATGAATACGTGGACTAAAACGCTCTTATTCGCCTCCATTGATTCCCCGCCAACACCCACCAGACCTCTATCACCCTTGCCTTCCACCCAACTTCCCATTAACAGCCTTCCGACCACAACCCTCCATCCCTCATCAATACCTCACAGACCTCACATGGCTCCATTGAGACCACCAGATCCCCCTCAAGATGGCTCCGCGGATATTCTGGACCGCTCCACTCCCATGCCCCCTTCTCGAGTCACCCGGCATACCTGTCCCCTTCTACAGGCAAATTTTGGGTCTAGAACCTACTTGGTGCCAGCCGCCCGGACTTTGCAGCTGCAGCGCCCTGAGCAGACCGCTCTCCTTCCCTCGCCGGCGGAACAGTGCAGGCGTGCCTCACCAGTCCCGGCCTAGATCCACGTCCTCCATGCCCCAGGGCCTACCTTAGCTTTCGGAGCGGGGAGAAGCAAGAGGAAGGTGGTTGGTCCGCGGGCAGCTGGAGCCTCGGCGAGAGCGCAAGCCGGTGAGAGATCGTAGGGCTTCAGTTTGTGTTCGTAGCTGACCCGAATGCCAGTCATGCACGCCTAAGCGTTAACAGCAGCGTGGCATCCCGGAACTCCGAGGCACCGGCGAGGTCCAGATCTGACCTGAACGTACAACGTGAGTCCCGTCACCTTGTGTCGACGTATCCGGGTCACGCGAACTGCCGTTCCCGGCATGCAGCGGGGGCGACCAAAGCGACTGAATAAACGCACTGCGTGGTTGAAACGTCACGACGCACAAGAACCGATTCTTTGTTCTTTTGTTCCAAGACCAAGATCAATTTGCTCCCCTACCCTTCTCTTCTTGGATCAGGCTGGTCATTGAAACTGAGGACTACATTTCCCAAGATGCACCTCGCACGACGTCTCCCCCCCCCCCCCCCTATTTTATGCGTGCCGTGAAGCGAAATTACTGCTGTGGGCGTAAGCGTGAGAGTACGGGAAGTGCGTGAATGAAGGGCGCGAGCGCGCGAAAGCTCTTCGGCAGCAATTTTGAATCCCATTTCCGTTAGTGGATGGCGCGCAGCCTGAATTTTACCTTCTCAAAACTTCAGTTTCCCTACCTGGAGAATGGGGGTAATCAATAATACAGGCTTCACAGAATTATTGGGAGGGTTACATAGATGTTGCTTAGCACATTGTCCGGCCTCTTGTAATTGTGTTTTTCAAACATTTTTTTCTTCAGGCGTTTTAAACTCCAACCGTCACACAAAGAAGACTATACATCCTGACCCAGTGGACAAACACAAATATAATGGAAGCATTTATTATATAGCATTTGCCATGTGCGAGGTACTAAATACTTTCAGTGGCGTGCAAGGAGGTGGCTAACAACCGCCTTTTTTGGGGGGGAGTCTGTTTATAGCACCTGTCAATTTCCATGGTTTACGTATTATCATCTTGGCAGATTTCAAGTCACTGACATTTAGTCTCTGAACGGGAAGTTCGAAAGAGATGCAGTAGCGCACCATTATGTACTATTTTTATCATGCAGATAAAATAGGGGTAGATGACCTCAAGAGCATAGAGACTAGTGAAATGCAGTAATTAGGAAGTGATGAGTTTTGAGTATTTACTGCCTTTAAAAATCTATTTACTTAATTGTAATTTGTATTATTTCATTTTTGACAATAGCTCTTTAACAACCAGTTTGCAAAATTTCTGAAAATTGAACATGTACAAGATGTTGAACCTGTACAAGATGGCGCCAGCACACCCTTTCCTTTGTTCACTTATTTTAATCCTAACAACATGTATATGAGCCTTAGTGGGGCATGGTGGCTCATGCATGTAGTCCCAGCTACTCCAGAGGCTTAGGCTGGAGGATCCCTTGAGCCCAGGAGTTTGAATCCAGCCTGGGCAACACAGCAAGATCCTTAAAAAAAAGTCCATATGAAGTGGTTACTGTAATTATCACCAGTTTACAGGTGAGGAAACTGAGACAAGGAGGACATATATCATTATATTAAGCATATAAACATATATGCCATTTACCAATATGTATATGACTATATAGAGCTATATAGTGATATATATTTATTACTACATACATTACACAGTAGTAAACAACATAATACAAATACGTCACTATGCATAATGGTATATATTTTATGCATTTTGTATAGTGTATGTATAAGATCTATGTATCATCTTGTACATATGATATACAAATTTGGCCAATATACATATATGAATATACTAATATCGCTATACATTTACTTACTAAAAGTAACTGTACTAAATAGAGATATACTGTTAAATATGTAAATATATAACATGTCAGGCGGTGATAAAAGCTGTGAAGAATGATAAAGTAGGGTGAAAGGGATGGAGAGTAATAGAGGGGTTGAGTTCCTATTTTAGACAATGTAGTCAGGGAAGGCTTCTCTGAGGAGTTGACGTTTGAGCTGAGACTTAAAGGAGAGTGCCCCCTAGGAATATTTGGAGGAAGAGTATTTCAGGCAGAGGGAACACCAAGTGCAAAGACCCTGAAGTGGAAACAAGTCTGGTGAATAGTCAAATAAGTGAATAATTGATTAACCATTCCTTAGCATGTATGCTTCTGTCATGTTCACTGCTGCCTCCCAGTGCCTGGAACAGGGCTGGCACACAGTTAATGTTTAATGAATGTTTGTTGAATTCACCCTTTTATTTATTTGTTCCTTCGTTTTTTCCTCAGAGGCATGTTGTGCGTTTTTGTGGAGTCATGGGAGGAGGCGTACACAGAGATTCAGAGACTCCTGAAGGAGTCCCTGAGAGCCAGGGAAAAAGCAAGAGCTTTGTCAGCAGAGCTCATGGCGCCTTTGCAGAGGTGAGCAAGTGTGAGAAAGGAAGGGTTCAAGCCACCAGGCTGCTGCTCCACAAGAGAGGAGGGGGCGGCAAGCACTGGGGGCCCATGTTCACCCTGTGGGATGCTTCTCATGTCCTGTTTTCTTGCCGCTCACTAAGAGGATGTTTAATTTTTAGTAAAGAAACTTGCTTCCTCCAGCAGGGCCAAGGGTTTGGGGGACGGGAGCCAGGCTCTGAACTCCCCAGGCTCTTCCCGAAGTAGGGTGTCGGCCTGCAGCTCCCACCCGGCACCCCACTGAGTGTAAAGGTGTCCTCCCCTCAGCCTCCTGAAGAGGTCAGGGAGTGGGGAGCTGCCAGGTCAGCTCTTTCCTGGAGGGGGCATCTTTACAGTGTGAGGGAGAGAAGGAGGTGGCCCAGGGTCATGGGGCTAGAACGTTGCTGCCCAGAGGCTGCTTGTAGGGATGGAAGAGACTAGAAAGAGTTACCCTGTAGGGAGCCTGCCTAAAAACACAGATTAGAATCCTAGATGAAGCTGAGTGGGAGTTTGCTTTCACAGTCTCAGAATAAACCTTTAATTCCTTTCACAAATATGTGTATCAAGCATTATTTTAAGTGCTTTACCTGTGTTCATTCATTCAGTCTTCTCAATAGCTCATGAGTTAGGCATCATTATGCCTTTGAAGAAACTGAGACATAATGTGAGGTTTAGGAACTTGCTCTGGGCCACACAGCTTCAGTGGCTGAGCTGAGAAAGCCTTTGCTGTTAACTGCTTCCTTATGTTGCTCCCTCCCTGAATATGAGCGAGCAGTGACCTGTTTTAATGAAAACCAGGGGTCTCTTTAAAAGAATGGACAAGAACCCAAATGACTATTAATAGACTGGATAGGAGTCCTAAATGTTACACAAGGATCTGCTTTACTGAACCAACACAAACCTCAAATGACCCTGAGAAGGGGCCCTACTTTGATGAACTAACAAAGTGTTCTTATCCCTGGCACAGCCTCAAGGCCTTGGTCACGCTTGAAGACATCTGTTCCTTCTAAAGCAGGTTGCCCTGTGCAGCCAGATTCCACTTTTTCTTTGTTTTTCCTTCAACCAGTGTATGTTGAACACCTGCTATTTGCAGTGCCCTGAAACTTGGGGAGCTGTGGGGTGCAGAGCTGGATGGAGGGTCATCCCTCCTCTAGAAGAGTTACCTTGGCAGAAATAAAAATGATGATGATAATATGACACTTGATCAGTGACATTTATTGAGCACCTGCTGTGTGCCTGGTAGCCCTGTGCTGGGCAGTGTTGGAGGGCCAGAGAAGGCCCTGGGAGGAGAGGAAAAGGGATTGATCAGGGCAGGAGGCTGCACTGGGTGGCGGTGAATGGTTGCAGGGGAAGAGGGCTATCTATTTTTTGTCCAAGGTATTCTATTCTTATGACAGGGCACTTTAGGCTTTTGTTGAAACATAGATACCTGCCTAGCATCCTCCTCACTCCCCACCTCCGTCCTTTAGCCACCTGGACCAAGGACTTTGCTGACAGGTGTCTCATTCCCTGGCCAGCCTGCAGCACAGAAGTGTAATGGCTCTGGGTGGGGGATGGGTAGCAGAGGAGAAAGAAATCCCAGTAGATAAACAGGGAAAGAAGGGAAGGGGAGAGAGGCAGGAGGGGACAGGGCAGGGTGTGTGTGTGTGTGTGTGTGTGTGTGTGCGCGCGCGCACACACCTGAGTGTCTCTCATCTGCCTCTTCTCAGCTACTACCACTTGTATTTTGCTGCACATGTGTCCTCCTGTGTAACTTGCCTGGTTGTGTCTTCTGTCTATGTGTTTCCTTTGTGGCAGCTGTGTGTGTACAGTTCATCTCCATGAGGCTGTGTGTGGTGTGTGTTGTAATGCTTGTGGGTGATGAGTGTATTTGTCTCTCCTGTGTATCTCCTGTGTGTGTGTCTTCTTTGTGTGTGTGCCACTGTCTGTCTATCCTTGGTGAGTGGCTGCAGGTATGTGTGCCCTAGGGGTGCCTTTTAAATCTTTTTATTTAAAAAAAATTATTTTCTTTCTTCTTCTTTTTTTTTTTTTTTTTTTTTG